CTTCCCTCTCGTGCTCTCTATCTCTCATTCTTCTCTTTCTCTCAAATAAATAAATAAAATCTTTTAAAAAAATAAATACATAAATACATAAAAATTTTAAAAATTAATAAAAAAGACAGCAGCCTGAGGCCTGCTATGTTAACTCTTTTCTGCACAGGTACCAAGTTCTCCCAACCCTAGATTATATAAATGCTTATGTATAGGTGGGTTTCCCATTTAAAAAGCTTTTATTTTCCTATTTAAAGAGTTAAGCTATCTAAGGCTTATTTTTTTCTATTTCAATATTAATAGTTGCTTCTTGGATAAGCAATTAATATTTTTTCTTGCTTTCTGTTTTTTTTAAACACTTCAGGTTACCTACAAAATATACGTATTTTTTTTATAATTGGAAAAATACAAAAACACAACTTCCAATGAAATTAAAATTTTATTTTCTGATTTCAAAATAAAAATTTGTGTCTTGAAGACAATAGTTATACTCTCTTAGGTTTTCCTTCATATTGAAGTACTCTGTCAGCAATTTTATTCTCAATGAAAATTTTTGTGAGTTAATGCTTTAACACCTGTGTTACACCTGAGTAAAGAGTATTAGTCTACAGGGGAACCTGGGTGGCTCACTTGGTTAAGTGCCTTCATCTAGGGTCATGATCCCTGGTCCTGGGATCGAGCCCCCACACGGGGGGCCTGCTTCTCCCTCTCCTGCTTCCCCTACTTGCGCTCACTCTCTCTCTCAAATAAATAAATAAAATCTTTAAAAATATATATTAAAAAAAGAATATTAGTCTACAGGAAGTCATTATGTAACAATTCACCTGTGCTTGACTACTACAGAAAATGCATACATGCTTAGAGTTGAAAAGAAGATGATTAACAGTGAAGTTTGGCTCTCAAGAGAATCCTGAGAACAAGTTGCTTCTAATACTTGCTTTATCAATGAAAATATTATGTAGGTGATAGTTAAGTGATCCACTTGTTCAGTATAGGCCTAATCCTGTCAATGACTGAACTAATCACATCCTAGAGAAACACTGACTTTTTTACTACTGGAAGTCTTTAACATGAAACAGCTAATAACAGGACCTCTATAAGGAAAACAGATAATCTGAAAGTTGCAGGAAATATTAAGGTAAAGCTTATACTCTAAATATACATACAAACATCTCTATACATAAAAATTATTAAATATACTCTCCTGTAATATGAAGTGTTTTACATCAAAAACATATGTTTTTAATATTTACGTTTATGCATTTTTAGCCTGAGAGTAAACACAAGGTTCTGGAGCAGAGATCAGAGTTATTATTACTTACACCAAGAAATGTATCACTTTTCCCACACCTAATACGCCACAGGCATCATAACAAGAGCCAGTTGGTTAGGCCGGTCCACACAGGCGTTGAACCACAGGAAAGGTCCCCAAAAGTATGAATGTGGGAATATGTATATTATAGTTGCCCAACTGCTACCTTTCCCTGAGAAAGGCAGGAAAAAAGCTAATCTTCCTAATGTAAGTAAATTCTCCTTAGAAAAGGGAAGGTCTTAGAGTTCTTACCCTTTGGAATGTAAATAAATGTCTCCCAAGGGAAGATTAACTTCACAAAGTTTACAATCTCAATCTTGAATGTCTCCCAGGCTCTGAGTTTTATAACCTTTGGAAAAAAGAACAAACTTCCTGGGCATTCTCTAACAATCTAATCTCTTAACAATCTTTTATTTTCCAAATCTTGCCCTTTAACCCAGGTTCTAGTTTTCTTGGCTTTCAAAGCTGAGACCATGCAGAAACATGAAAATATACACTTCTTGAAACTATACAGTAAAACAAACCAAAACATTTATATTCACAGCTCTTGTTAATATCGGACACCTCTTAAAATATTGGCTTTCACACCCTTTCTGGAGAGCCCTGGGAATTCCTCAGAGGTGCCCCAGAAGCCTCTTTTCAGAGGGCCATTTAGAGGTGCAGAGTGAGCAGGGCTCTGAAACCCCAATTCCTGCTTCAAATACAGCCTATCTGCTCTCAAAATTTGGGCTTCCAATTATGTTTTTTGAAGATGAGGCTCTACCAAAAAAACAAAAACAAAAAAAAAAATTGAAATCCATTGGGGGAAAAAAAAAACAAAAAATCTTAGGCAACCTAAATAAAATAAAAACCTGTCTTATAGAAACAGACATGGTTCCATTTACATTTACACTTAAATTTCCTTGGCTTGGTGCTCTTACTTGCATTGATGTGAAACCTATAAAACACATACCACCACAAAGTTAACTGATTATTACTGGGGCTCCCCATATAGTTCACAGGTACTCAGAAAGTTCTTGATGTTCTGTCTGTTGATGTCCTATGTATACAATGCCATTTGAAAAAAGGAACTGAACACTTCCATGAAAGCACTGCCCTATCCAGTATCCTGTTTTCTACTGCTGATCCTCCCTAAACAGTGCTGTAATTCTCTTTTGGGGGGAACCCAAACCTCTGTTGCTCACAAAAGTAAGAAGTGCCCTTTTCTCTCCACAGGACTGAGACTTCAGGCAGCAGTCACCATACTCTCATATCCACCATCCCAGTTCCTCTCTTTTCTACTTCCATGTAACCCAACATAAAACTTCATCCCCCTCCCCCTCACCTCTCTTCCCCTGAACTCACTACCATACAAATAAACTCAATACAAATAGATGCCTCAGACCCACCAGTTCAGGCACCCAGATTGCAATTCCCATGCTAACAAATGGGAAGATTCTAGCAACATTTATAAAAAATCAATATTAAGGTTATATGTGATAATCTCTAAATCTAAAATAATATGCTATACAGCACTTTCAAAATTTTACAATGTTTATTTATCTATTGCATTTTTCAAAGGGCAGACTGAGTGGATCAGTCGGCTAAGCGTCTGCCTTTGGATCAGGTCATGCATGATCCCAGGGTCCTGGGATGGAGTCCACGTCAGGCTCCCTGATCAGCGGGGAGTCTGCTTCTCCCTCTGCCCCTCCTCCCCACTCATGCCCTCTCTCTCTCTCAAATAAATAAATAAAAATCTTAAAAAAAAAAAAAAAAGGACAGACTGATTGCCAATTTATTCATCTTTACTTAGGGGAAAAAAAATCTCCTGGGATTCAAGAAGCCTGAGTTCTGATTGCACCTCTGCTTGTTCTGTGAACTCAAGCAAGTCACTTAACTTCTCTTGGCCTATTTCTCATCTCTAAAAAGGCAAATGGCCTATTCTCAGAAGGGATCCAAGTGGAATCTGGAGTTTTCACATAATTATTAAGGATTAACTCTCCCTCAACCCTCATACATACCTGCAAACCTGATGAAGGGCACACTGTCATGTATAATCTGTCAAAATTTTGCACCTTATTTCTTCCCTTCCCCCATTTTTTTTTAAAGATTTTATTTATTTATTTGAGAGAGAGAGAGAGAGAGAGAGACAGCTGGAGAGGGAACACAAGCAGGGGGAGTGGGAGAGGGAGAAGCAGGCTCAATTGAGCGGGGCTCAATCCCAGGACCCTGGGATCATGACCTGAGCTGAAGGCACACGCTTAACGACTGAGCCACCCAGGCGCCCCCCCCTTCCCCCATTTCTAATGCAAGCTCGCATGTGTAGACATATGAACAAGACATCACAAGGAAGAACATTCTAGAAGGGTAAGCCAAGTAAAAAGACAATACTGTATTTTAATCAATTCTGCAATCATTTGCCAGTTATAAAAAAAAAATCAACAAAGGTAATTTTGGTCCCCACCACCCTCATTTTTCTGCTCCCTTTACCCAAAAAAGTAGATTGGTTGACGGTAGAAAAGGTAAGACAAGCGAGAATCGCTGAACGATAATGATGTGACCGACCCAACCGTTCATTCGATAAATATTTGAGTGCCCAATTATCAGGCATTAAGCTAAGCACCAAAGACAACGGCCAAAAGCTAAATTTTGGGCCAAGACAGAAATACACACTAAAGTGGATAATCTGGGGTCCTCACCCCTTAACTGCATCACTAAGCCTTGATGGCATTATCCCGACTTGATCGATTCTACGGCTGTGTCTAAAGGAGAAATGGGATGAACAGAATTCCCTCAGAATAAATAACAGAAAGCCATTTGTGTCTCCACTCCTCAAGGAGGATGCAAGCTGAGAAGACATCACACTTCCGCTAGCCCTGTCACCCCGCAGGTCATACACACCTGCCAGGTGTATAGGCTGACAAGCACGGTCAGGGCCACCCGCCGGGCTGTGATTTCAGGAGTCCTAAAGTTCTTTAAGATTCTGTTTCCCACGAGCTGATTTGACGAGTCAGAGTGGACTACCATTCCCACACTCTGAGGGAGTAAAGAAAGTTCTACAAAACGGTAGTACATGTAAGCCACATCTTCTAAATAAAATCCTGGCACAGGTGTCTGGCACAAACGCGTGTTTTATTAGACATGAGGTGTCATGCTTGGATTAGCACATTTTTCTTTACAACCAAACGTCTGTGAAACAGTCAAGATTTTCAGAGCTTTCGTCAATGTTTTCTTTGAAAATCAGCATCTCTGCCTCGGAGCCACCTCCCTAACCCGCTTCCATTTAACAAGAACAAGGAAGGGAGTAAAGTCCGACATTAGTTAGCACAGCCTCTCCCCCCAGTTCTGCAGAGCTTACTCTGAAATCCTTTCTGAAATGCGGCCGGGTGTACCTTTTCAAAGTGAGTTAAACTCGGGAGACCAGACAGGGTAGGGGTAAGGCACAGACGCGAGGCGTCCGCCCAGTACGACCGCGCAGGGGCGACCTCTCGGCCCCCGGCCCGGACGCCGAGCAAGGCGACCCCGGGGCGGCCGGGGCGCGGGGCCAGGCCGGCCGCGGGGCCACCGAGCGAGGGCCCCGAGAGGCGGGAAAGGCCAATGGGTGGGCTGCGGGGGCAGGAGACACTTCGGGAAAGCGCGGGCGCTCGCCCTATGGCGCCGCCCGAGGGGGAGACTGGGGCCGGGGTCCCCTTCGCCGCGCGGACCGCGTCTCGGAGGGTACCTGACTGCGGGCGGCCGGTCCACAAAGCCCTCCCGCCGCCCGGGCGGAAGAGAAGCCCGGTTCTCCGCAGAGCCACGACCCTCGCCACCGTCGCCAGCATCGCGCGCCTCTCAGATATCCTAGGTCCCCGCGTGAGGGAAGAGCGCAGCGCGCGCCGCCCACCGCCTCAGGGGGCGCCCGCGAGCACTTCAGGCCCCGCCCCCCGCCTACTGGGCGGGGCCCCGCCGGGCACTGTTATCCCGGCAGTGCTTTCTGGGCCGTGCTTTCCGGGTCGCGCCTTCCAGTCCGCCCAGTCGTCTGGTCAGTTGGTCCCGAGCAGGCACCGCAAGACCATAAAAGCCTTTGCTGGAACCGAGTGATCGGCTTTTGTCCTTTTTCTGTCTTTACTTAAGCCCGCTTAATCTCTACCCAATTCGGTAACCCACTTCTACCCTGCGCTTGACGGAACCTTTGTGAGGCCGGAACCGATATGCTATATCGCGCTGGCGGCCAGGGGACTGTTTTGGCAGAGGACCACCGAGTCTGTGAGAAGGGTTGGTCGGGACAGTTCCGGCGGGAGAACGCGGCAGTGAGGTCCTCGTCTTCGTCTCCTGATATGCACCGACAGAATTTTCGACCCCCGACTCCTCCCTACCCCGGCGCGGGTGTAGGAGGTTGGGGTAGCGGGAGCAGCTTCCGGGGTACCCCGGGCGGAGGCGGACCGCGGCCGCCCTCCCCTCGGGACGGGTACGGGAGTCCGCATCACACGCCGCCGTACGGGCCCCGGTCTAGGCCCTACGGGAGCAGCCACTCTCCGCGACACGGCGGCAGCTTCCCGGGGGGCCGATTCGGGTCTCCGTCCCCTGGCGGCTACCCTGGCTCCTACTCCAAGTCCCCCGCGGGGTCCCAGCAGCATTTCGGCTACTCCCCAGGGCAGCAGCAGACCCACCCCCAGGTAATAATAGCCAGCGTTTGCCGAGCTCTTACTGTATGGCAGGCATGGTACTAATAATAATCCCTTTACATGGATTATTTTGTCTAATCCTCTATGAGGTGAGATACTATTGTTGGCCCTGTTTTGCAGATGAGTAAACTGAGGCTGAGAGAGAAGTTAAGTAACTTACTTTAGGTGACCTTAAGTAGCAGAGCTGTATTTTCTGTTTCTAGAGCCCTCCTGCTTTGAACTGGTACACTGCCATTCCTACACAGATTTCCCTAATTTCCTATCCTTTGCCAGGGATCTTGCCAGTTCGTCTGAGTATATTATTCTCCGAGGGGTAAAAAAAAGCGAATGAATCCCCAGCGTAGAGCTCATCGGAGTTCAAGGGTTACAGACTGGTGCCATTTTCCTTCTACTGGCACGCTTTTTGGGGCAGGGCGGGGTGGGGGGGCGAAGGTGGTGGAGGGGGGAGCTTCAAACTACACTGGCTTGTGCTCCAAGTCTTCTTAAGGAAAAATCGGTGATTTTGGAAGTTTCCCATTCCTCTCAGTGAGAGTGAACACAGGAGACCGAGGGAGTGTTTCTGGTGTGTCTAGGATTTCTGTGGTTTAAAACTTGAACGGTTTCCTACTTTCGTTGTGCTAAACCAACCCCACCCCTTTTGAGTCTGGAGCTAAGTAGATAAAATTTCATAGGATGGAAAGGTTCTTGAAATTTTGAAGTTGTAGGGTTAAAAAAAAGTTTTAATTTCCTTCCAGAAAAAAAGGTGGAAATTTTAAGGAAAATTTGAAACACAATTTATTTCATCACCAGTTGTTAGTTCTGCAGTTATTACATTAGAAATCGAAAAGTATTTGAGCTGACAGTTGGCATGGAATTATTAATACATGAGTATGTCAAATTGGCTTAAATACTTTTACAAACAAAAACACTAGATTAAAGGAAGAATGGACTTTGCATTTGAACATGTTCGGGTTCAAAACACAACTTTTAACTAGCAATGTGATCCCCACTAGCTTTAAAAAATAAGTGCCAATTATCTCTACAAAACATTTTTTTAACTGATGATTTTTTTTCTAAAGGGTTCTCCAAGGACATCTACACCATTTGGATCAGGGCGTGGTAGAGAAAAAAGAATGTCTAATGAGTTGGAAAATTATTTCAAGCCTTCAATGCTTGAAGACCCTTGGGCTGGCCTAGAACCAGTATCTGTAGTGGATATTAACCAACAATACAGCAATACTCAAACATTCACAGGCAAAAAAGGAAGATACTTTTGTTAACATTTCTGAAATTCACCCGGAAGCTTCATGTGTCAGGAACATCTTGGACAAAACTTTTACCCATGTAATTAAGTTGAACCCTAAGATGGTGACTTTGAATAATTAGTTGAGTCTTCTTGGTATTTTTCATCATATCAAGTATTGTTGATATTAGAAAAGACATACAGTAGAATAACTTGCAATATTTAGCTCTTTGAAAGTGCCTACCACATTTTAGAAGATTTACAGTTTCCAGATATTTAAAGTTCATGGTTATATAATGGACATTTGTCTTTCAATGGTTTTCCAGTGTTTTAAAATAAAACATTTTGTCTTTCTAGATATATTGTGGTTTTGTCATATGCTAAAGAAGTAGAATTATTAAAATAATGCCTGTAATCACTTGCTTAGAACTCATAGGTAAATATTTTGCATACTACTTTTGAAAATGAAATAAACCATCCTTTGAGCTGTAGACAGTTCTATATTTGTTCACAGGGAAAGAGGGTGAAGGAAGAGAACAGAAAAGAATTCTATTCATATTTATTATAACCATTGTTCTTTGTGCATATTTTATGTAATGCTTTTGTAAATGCATTGAAACTTGATTGAAAGTCACAGAAACCCACTTAAAGGGTATTTATATTTTTTATACTCATTTAACTGGAAAGGGCAATGATAGACCTATTTCTTGCATAGACAGATTAAAGTGTTCTGTATCTGAATTTCTCAACATCTCTCGATATTATGGAGTCATTTTCTCTTGAGAGCCAAGGAAGATGGGTACCAGCAGTCTGAAATCACTTCCTTTGTGAAGAGAACATCTCCCAACACTGTCCATCCCAGGAAAGACAGATTTGTCATGCCTGGATCATGTTTCTGTAGTCCTGAACTAATAATTGGCCAAGGCAGTGAGGCCTAATTAGCTTGAACTATGAACCTCCCCCATAATGAGATAGGGTCCCATAATCTTCAGCCCCACTAGGCCTGCCTGGATTAGAAGAGCGGTTTTCCAAAGGAAGGGCTGCTACGTGTGTATACCTACATTAACTATTTCTCCCCAAATATTTAAACAAAACTGAGTCTTCTAACATTCAGGCTTTTTAGATATCTTGAGATCACAACATGATGAAGATAGAGCTAGTTAAAATTCTCTTTAAACATTCCCAAAAAGAAACATCTAAAAATGAAATGGTCACACCACCTATTTGAGCCACACTCAGTTCTTATCTGTTAGGTCTCTCACAGAGGCAAAGAAGAAAAGGAGAAGGGAAGGAGTTTAGACTAATAGAAGCTCCACAACAGCCAGGACTATTTCTACCATTTAAAAGCTGGATGAGTTATTTAACTTCTCTATGCCTCAATTTTTTCATATGTAAAATGAAAATAGTACCCATGTCATAGAGGTGTTGTGTTTGAGGATTAAAAGGGTTTATATGTGTGCAACTGTTAGGCCAGAGCCTGGCACATAGTAAGCACTCAATAAATGGTAGCTATTACTTTCTCATTCACCCCTATAGAGCCTCAGCTGTTAGAATGATGTCTGGGAAATAGTAGGTGCTTAATAAATACTTGGTGAATGAATGCAGACATTCTGATTATAACTACTGTATTGCTCTGCCTTGTCTCCTGTTATAAAAGGGATAGTAAATTAGTAGTTTTCCCCAATATTTCTTTATTCTCTAACGTCTTTCCCAGATGATTTGAGGTCATGAAGTATGATGAAAATTAGAGCAAGTAGAATACTTTTGTAACCCTTGCAATGAATTTTATAGGTAAGAAGTACTATCTTTAGGAAATGGCATTTGGAAATAATTATTAAACCACCTCTTAAGAGATCACTGGGTTATTGGCAAAGATGAAAAAGGAAGTCAGGATTTCGTGCCAATGTATTCATAGCATATTTGGAAGATACACAAATTGTAACAGTTCTAATGGTTTACGTGCATTTTATTTCACTATAAATGTAATATTAAACAACTAAATGTAAAAATTCTTCCTTGCCAAGTCACCAACATCCACTTCCTGAGCTGACCTTTTCTGACTTTCCTAAGAGAAACTTTTGTCCTCAGGAAAGGTGCATTACTGTTTGGCTCTAGTTGGTAGTGTATTCAGTTATCAAAAGTCTTGCAACATTGATAATTTGGTTTGTTTCTATTATTAGTCTATCTTTGTTTAGCTGAATGAAAGAATTGATCATTCTTTAAAATGAAAATAATTGTTTTTTAGTGTTCCAAAATACACATTTTTATACCTCCATAGAAATGCTATATAACTTAGAAAAATTTTTAGTTAAATATGCATCTTAAATATTCAGGTAACTAAAGAACAGAAGTTGGGTCTTCAAACAAGGGTGTGTGTACTTCTGGGAGTCTTCAACCTTCTAAAGGAAGTGCAGGCATAGAAAACTTTCCAGATCCTCAGTTCCCATATATATCCCTTTGTTAAAATGATCTGTCTAAAGAACATTTCCATGTTCAGTGGATCATGCCAGTTCTCCTTTTGACCTCTGCCTTTTGATTATCACCCTCTCCCATTTTACATAAGAAAACTATGGCAAACTTGTATTTTATAAAAATAACCCCAACAATATTTCAGGTCCCACATAGTCTTATAGAACCTTGCACTACCCCATCAAGATGTGAAGTTACATCCCTTCCCTTTGAACCTGAACAGACCTTTCTGACTGCCCAATTTCAGAAAGTATGGTGGAAGTTTTTATTATGAGTGAAGTGTGGTCTTAGAAATGGGTTTATTGGCCCATGTGGAGATGTTCAGGATTTAGGTATGTTGTCAAGTAGGAAATAGTATAATGATAGTTTTTGTTTAATGGCCTTGCCTTTTTGTTTCCTGACTTCAAAAAACCATTTTTCCTGTGGGTGAATCATGTGAAAGTAAAGCAGAGAGCAAGAACATAACATGAAGGTAAAGTTACCTTATTTTTAGGCAACAAACAAATGGTAAGATTACTTGCCTCATCTATTTTAGAATTTTAGAATATTCATATTGGTACAAAAGCATGATGGGTTTTGGTGAATGCTGTCAAGCAAACTATTTTCACCATTCTCCATAACAGTGAAGAGCCTGATAAATATGTCTCAAACCTGTCTCAGCATAATTAGCATGGTTTCAAGGAGGAAGAAGTTAGAAGTTCCATGTTTATTTCTGACATACTAATACTAGATTTTCCAGTGAAAAGATCCCATATCAAAGGTAAGTTCATGACTGTATATTTTTCGGATTCTTAGGAGAAACATTCTTAATAACCTTTGCCAGTTCATTATCAGATTCTGTAAATCCATATTAATTTTTTACCTGGCCCAACTCTTCCTTATTTCCTATTTTTTCATTCTTAACATGTATTTAGTTTTAAGTTAACAAAAATATATTATGGGTTTTATTGTAAATAAGACACATAATAATCATTGGTATGCTTTGCATGTTTCCTGAACTTGGTAGTGATTCATTCTTTTTTTTTGCTCCTAATTTCCACAATCTAATTCTTCATCTAATCTAAGACACTGTTGTGTAATTCACTCTACATACCACTTAGTAAAAACACTGCCCACTAAATTATGATAGGCCACCAATTGTAAGATGCATCGCAATTTCAGAAATGTGAAAATGTGTATCTTAGATAAAATACTATAAACAATAATCATAAAAGCAGAACATATACTCATGTATAAATGGAATAAATATCCCCCAAAATATACACTAGGACATAGTGCATTTAATTTTAGAAAATCAGTTTAGTTATGATTAATTCTTTTCAGATACTTCTATTACATCCTAATTCTGTAAAAAAAAAAAAAAAAAGTTTTTCAAACATAAAATTTCTAATCTATATAGAATTATCCTCAAGAAATCTATGCAATTTCCAGTTTTGTGGGGGGTGTTTTTTACTCACTTGTGTCTTAATTTTAAGCTCTATGAGCAAGATGACTAAGTGAAAGAGTTACAGATAAGTCTTACTAAACATCTTTGGTTAACTTTCCAAAGAATTAAGAAGGAAAATGGCTTGAACAAGCAAGGTCTTTAGTGAGGGTGGTTTTCAATTTTTTGGTTTCAATATTGAAGAAAGCTCAGATTGTCAGTTAAAATCATTAAAAATAATTTGATGACAGACTCGGTTTATAATTTTACTTAAAAAGAGTCCAAGAATTGAGTGGCATCACTATAACAGAATTCTTACTGTTCCTTTTTACTATATACGTACATTTTCTCAGCATTTATATCTATACGTAAAAAATAGTAATAAAATTGATGTCTTATTCTAGCAATGGCAGAATTTGTCCATGAATATGAGAAAATACAGCACTGTCCATCTCATTGAGATACATTTCCAATAAACTTGTGTTTTTAATACTTTATTAAAGTTAATTTTTTTTATCATTTGAATAGTAGTGATAATCCAGACAATGTTCAACACTTGGAGCTTTATAGTTGTTGGAAATGTATTTTTTTAATTTCTAAAAATATTTTTTATTTCAATAAATACGTTTTTCATGTATTTTGGGACAGATGTATAATAGAGTATCAATAAAAGACTTTGAAGCAATACACTATTGCAATGAGATAAAATTACATGGGAGAGTACAGTGGAGATACATATGGGGATAAAAAAGCATAAAATTTCTGATAACTATTTTAAGGAGTGATGGTGAATATCAAATTGCTGTGATATATTGATTCAGCTGGATACCTTAGTATTGTACTAGATTTAGCTTAAAATTTCAATATTACAGAAATGACTTCCTTTTCAATTTTTAAGATTAGGTAAAAATGTTTTTATATTGACTTGAACATGTATAAGAGGGTATATTACTTTTCAAAACATTTTAGAGAATATATGACCAAAAATTTTAAAGGTCTGCAACAGAGGAGGAAGAAAGGAAATATAATAAATTATAAATCCAAAAGAAATCAGGGAAGGAAGAAAAAGTAAAAGTGACAGTAGTAAGTTTGAATATATCACAATGAATCTAAGAAAAATAAAAATTCATTTTAAAGAAACAGATTGGATTAGGAAAATGGAATCCATCTATCTGCTGGTTTTATAAAGATACATCTAAGATAAAGGGTTATAAGGGCGCCTGGGTGGCTGTCAGTTAAGCAACCAACTCATGATTTGGGCTCACGTCATGATCTCAGGGTCGTGAGATCAAGCCCCACATCACGCTCCACGCTGGGCATGCTTAAGATTCTATCCCTCCCCGCAAATGTGCTCTCTCTCAAAAAAGAAAAAAAAAAAAGATTATAAAATGAAGGGTTATAAAAAGATTCAAATTCACAGTGGGGATTTAGCACATCTCTACCAGATATGGATATAGCAAGCAAATGTGGAATTTGTAAGGATAGAAATGGTGCATAAAACAGAGATTATAGGTAATATATGCATGTTCTTTTCAAGTACACACAGCATATAATAACTTTTATAAATGTTCTAAATCACAAAGAGCCTGCAATTTTCAAAGATTTGATTGAATATGCAGACCATGTTTTCTGACCAAAATGTTTGATAAATTTAAAAAGTACCCTCCATCAAAAAATAAAATAAGTCCATGAAACAGAAGACAAACTGTAGAGAATGTTAAGAAAGCAAAAGCCTGTTCTTAGGATAAAATAAAAACTGACAAAGGGGGGAAAAAAGAAAAAATACATAACATTAACCTTTGATGTAACATCAGAAACTATGCAAAAAAAAAAAAAAAAAAGACTACAGTAGGAAAACAATAGTGATGGAATCACCAAGAAGGATAATGCAATAGTGCAATGAAATAAATCTTCATTATTGCATCATCCTTTATTTTTTTTATTGCATTGCCCCAAGTACTGCATCATATTTTAAGAAGGTATAAAAGAAGTCTAGAGACACTATCCATGTAAACTTTTTAAGCTTTCATTGAGCAGTTAGGAATTTGTCATTTTTTATTTTGCATTCATACGGCATAGAAAAAAATTAACAGGGATTTCATGATTGTTATACAAATGAGCACTCTGGGTTTTAACCCTAACTATAAATTTTCAGATGGCAGTATCCTAGAAAATTTTTCTCAAATTCAGGAATCAATAAGTGAACATTTCTAAGGACAAAAGGAAATACATCCTCATCTAGTTAGTCATCCAAAGAAAGGACTCATCACACAATACTGTGTTATAAGAACA